ACATCAGGTTCCTAAGATTAGCAGCCTCTTCGGCAATATTTTCTTCTACCAGAGAATTATAGTCACTATCAGTATTGGGCTGAAATTGCAGCTCCAAAGAATCTGCAAAGGCCTCAGCTTTGGCTATGTCTGAGAAAGCCATGCCGGTAGCTACATAAATAGGCGGCACTACCGGTTTACGTTTAAGCCTAAAATACTTGTTCAAAGCCCAGAAGGTTTTATTACCTGTATCAATTCCTGAAAGAAATTCGCACCATTTATCATTATTATATTTGCCAATTTTTTTCCTGATTACATTAGAGAGACGATTGGCTTCTCTTCTTCTCATAGGATCTCCAGTTATTTGAGCAAATTTTCGAATCGCATTCCTTTGTCTAATGATTTGTTTGATGTAATGCGGCAGATAAAAGTAGTTACTTGGTTTTCTGGTCCTGGTGGTGGAGCTATTATCCAATGCCTCCTTAATCATGAGAGTGAGTTCTTTTTATTCTTGAAAATTGTCCAGCAATCAACATGAATCTCACGTACATAACCACTAACTGGGACTCATTTAAGAATCAGGTTGATATTTCAAATATAAATAATTGGCCAGTAACTTCTGAGGATCTTGATGACTGTATCCAAAAACTCAAAAATATATTTACAAAAGTTTCTAAATATTTATTATTAAATGGCATTTAATTCAAATTTCATTTTAATATTATTATTAGGCATTTTACAATTTTAGAAAAACAAACCATTTAAAAATACTGAGCAATAAGGTAACATTTGCTTTATGTAAACATTTTATTGCCTAATTACATTGGTAGAACATTCCATCAATTATGATTGTAAAATTATTCATTTTAATTTTAGAAACTGCACATCAATCGGTCCTACGTTTCAAGAAATAATTAATCATATTGTAAAAATGGCACTACAATAAAATCCGCATGGTTCTAAAAGGCACATAATTAAAAGTGGAAAAATGGCACTGAATACAACAAAACGAACATACCAACAACTCAAACCACTCGCTGGTATTTCAATGAAATCCGCAAATCTCTAGTAGAACTAGAAAACATAAGATTAAATAGAAAAAAAAAATACCAAATTAATTTTAATAATCATCCAAAAAAACTAAGGACTATAGCTGGCGAGAGACACTGTACTGTAATAAATTTCACATCGACGACTCAAGATTAAATAGTGTAGAGTAGTGCCGTATGAATCACAATGATTTTGCCAGCAGTCCAAATCAGAATACTAGCCGACGTCTGAAACACTATAATGAAATCTATAGGAATCTAGAAGACAAGAATTAAAAAGTACAGAACAATACCAAGTAAATCACAATGATAATGCCAGCAATTCAGAAAGCTTGCTGGCTACCTAGGTCCAGCACTGCCATGAAATTCGCCGAGCTCTCGACATAGACGACTTAAAATTAAATAAGGAAAAATGATGAGGAATAAATCTAAGTAATTGCCAACAATTGAACTAATAACACTAACATATTGCACTGCAATGAAATCAATATTGATTTCCTTGTCTAGAAGATAAGGAAGGTTCAAGATTGTATTGAGTAGAATTATGTCAAATAAATCACAGAGATATTGTAAGCAACTTAAAACACTCGCTTGTGGCCAACACACTGCACTCTAACAAACTCAGTAGGGCTCTAGAAGAAAAACAAGGCTAGAGATTAAATTGAATAGAATTGTGACAAATAAATCACTATGATCATACCAATAACTAGATACTCGCTGGTGAGCGAGACACTGGAAACGCATGAAATGAATTCTAGATATGAAAGGTATGAAAGATTCAAGTTTAAATAGGGTTGAACAGAGCCGACTGAAGCATAATGTTAATGACAGCAACTCAGGACCCTCGGTGGTGATCGAGACAAATAAAAATTTTGTCTATGTCATATCCAACTGCACTATCTTATATTTTCTTTGTTTTTTAGTTAGTTGAAGTGAAAGCCTCTTCAATTTGCTAAGAAAACCGTTTTTAATCCACAAATTCTTGTAGTAATGGGTAGAAGAAGTTTAAGCTAGAACTAGCCAGAAGCATTCACGAAGGCGAGAGTCTGAGCAATACTATTGCTGAAGATATCGTTGAGTATGTTAATGAAGGGGGCCTCCAAAAACTTTTGATCAAGCCTTTACTTTATTAGAATATAAATAAAAATAAGAAGTTTAGACATCTTACACTTATTAACAAAATGTCTGGTTGCATATCAAATACCATCGATCCTTCATATTTGTATTTTTGCTCCTAATATTTTGTTCAATATTTTTTTTAATTGTTTAATTTTTTTTAAAACTATTTAATGTATTTTTTTTTTAATTTTCTTAATGATTTTAAAAATATTAAACCTTAATATGGAAACGGTTTTTAAAAATACATATATTAAACCCAACTTACTTATATCACTCGACTTTGTTTAAAAAAAAATTAAAATTGAGATTATTAATTAATCACAAATTATAAAGAAATTAATTTTTATTATTTATAAATAATTTTTGTTTATTTTTAAAAAGTGTTTTTATTACATTTTTATATAATTTTCACATAATTTCTTTATTTAAGAAATATAAGAATTTTTCATTTGTTTTAAAATCAAAAGCAATAAAAATCACAATATCATTGGCATAAAAACAAAACAAAAGGCAGCAATGAATTTTCTTAAATAAATTTTCATTTTCTACTTTTTAAATTTTTAATTTTGCATTTCCGTCACCGAAGATCACAAAAAATTAAACGACACCTTTAAAATAATTTTGACACACACAATTGGCAAACCGCACGATCGCACACAAAAAAATGATATGGAAGAAAGCTTCCCCAGTACTTGAATCCCTAATACCGCGAGAGACTCTTAAGAAGAACACATTGAAGCCGATCAGCGACAAACGAAGACTGAATACACAATAGAAAAATGTTTTGTTAAAAGACGATCGATAACGAAGACGAGAAACAAAAAGCTTCGGAAAAGTTAAATTCTTAAAAGCTTCCAAGCTTTATTGAGTGAAAAGATTGAGTGCAATGAAGAAGAAGTATAATGTAATCTTATCATATAAGTAACTTGAGATCACTATCTTTAAGGAAATTTATATAATAAATATAATTTCTTTTATTTGGAAGAGATTGTGATATTTTTATTTTTTTTTTTTTTTGGATCAAGAAAAAGTTTTCAGAAACAAAAAAGCGCCATATATTTTGCCATTGTGATGACTTGTATTGTAGCAAAATTATTCCAGAAATTTTTGTATTATCGGACAAATTGAGAATAACAAATAAAAAAAACAGCAGCTCCTTCTTCCATTGTTTCATTCAAATTTCTGGTTACAGCTGCTCTGAGAGCAAAATAAATAAGACCCTTAAGTTTCTATGAAAGCTTTTAAGCTGTGAAAGCACCACTCTATGGTGTGTGAATGCACAGTGTAGTCTCCATTCGTGAGAAACTTTAAGGTATATTATATAGTGGATATTAACTATTTCCAAATTTTTTTATATTTCAATGAAATGAGAGCCTTTAAGCTATGAGGGAAAATGCTAAGTAAATGCACAGCTTAGTCTCCTTCCATAAGACCCTTTAGTTTCTGTGAAAGCTCTTAAGCTGTGAGAGCAGAAATAGCATGTAAATGCACAGTGTAGCCTCCTTCTTAAAAAGCCTTAAGGTCGTAGTATGTGTGTGTGAAGTGTACATTATCTAATATTTGATAGTGATATAATTCAATGAAATTAAAGTCTTTAAGCTATAAGAGTAATACTATGTGGTCCCACATGACCCTTAACAAGACCCTCTAATTTCTATCAGAGGTTTGCAACTGTGATAGTAAAAATGCTATAAGAATGTACAGTCTAGTGACCTTCTGTAAGAAACCTTGAGTTCATAATGTGAAATGGATATTATTTAATTTTAAATATTTTTTAAGTTCAATGCAATTAGGTCTTTCAAGCTATAAGATTAATACTATACAGAAAGACTCTTAACTTTCTGTGAGAATTTTTAAGCTATGAGAGTAAGAATCCATAACGCTTTAATATCTGTAAGAGCAAAAATGGTATGTGAATGCACAATGTAGTCTCCATCCGTAAGAAACCTTAAGGTTGTAGTGTAAAGTACTTACAATCAAAATTTTGAATATTTCGTAATATTTCATCAAATATTTAATTTCTATATTTCAATTAAATAATAATAAAAGAAAAGCACAAATATAATATATTTACTGGGCAATACTCTACAGCGTAACTCAAGCGTTATTGTGTTAACCCAAGTTATTTTAATCGATCATTAGAATTTTAAGAAAATGAAGAAATTTCACAATTTTATATTGTTCCATATGTTATAAGAAGCAATAAACCTATTCTCCATATGGATAAATTTGCTGCTACTCAATTTAGAAACCATACACTTAATTTAAATTAAATTTATATCAATAATCAAGTGTACCCGGTTGCGGCAGTCACTAAATAAACAAAAGTCAAATAACCTAACCTAACAACACTATAAAAGTGAAAAATTAGAAAAGGTAACAGCTAACAGCACTTAAAATGCGAAATAATATAAGTCGAGAATTTAACTGTGTCACTAAAAGCAGCTTACATTAATGATTATTAACTTTATTTTCCTAGAAGGTTGTCTAAGATATTGGGTGTAGACCCACTATCATGATTCCCCTTCTAATATGATTCATATCAACCCATGACTGCTTGATTTTGTTCGATACATAATGCACTAACAAATTTAGATTCGTTGCAATTCAGTAGCAAAGCACACCGGTGCCGTCTCTCTGCCACATGATCGATTCTGAGATGCAGTTGATCATATTAACACTAATCGTTTTTAACCGGTAGTATGCACCGGACCATATTGTAATGCTCTAACTACTAAATAAAGTTAATCTTCTCTTTTTTATTTTCTTTTTAATAAATTTTTACATGTAAATATGTATATTTCCTTTATTTGTGCAGAAATTAAATAAATTTATATATAATATAATGAATTTAATTTAGTTTATTAGAATATATCGAATATAGAAAATATTGTTTATTTTATTTAGGAGAAGATCCTTTATTGATTTGCATATGCGTTAGGTTATATCCAGTCGTGTTACGTATCTTTGGTTCCAAATTGTTTAGATATACATCAGCTACGAGTTCTTTTAATTCAATTTCTTTTGCATTTTTTGCCTGATGAGCAGCTTCGTCAATCTCTTTTTTAATTTTCATATCAATTGCCTTAAAAATATATATAATATATATATATATATATAAAATTAAAATGAAATATAAAATCTAAATAAAATTTACCTTTGTGTCATCTTCAGAAAATAGTTGGTTAGATATACAAAGTTCTCTAAATTTAACGATTGGGTCTCGTTTTGAACGCACCTCTTGAATTTCCTCTCTGCTGCGATAACCAACACCTGGATCAGACATGGAATGACCCATATAACGATAAGTTTCCAACTCTAATATAATTGGGCCATTCTCCAAAACATATTTGATTGCATATTCGGTAGCACTACGTACGGCCAATATGCTCATACCATCAACCCAAATACCAGGTATATAATCACCACGTGTATAATACTGGTCACAGCATGATGAACGTTTAGCTGGGGTACCCATACCTTCATGATAAAAGTCAGGTAAAAAAGTTATATATGTATTATTATATATTACAAACTAACCGTATCTGTTGTTCTCACACACATATATAATTGGTATCTTCAAAAGGCATGCTATATTGAAAGCTTCGTATACTTGGCCTTGATTTGATGCACCATCACCATATAATGCAACCACTACAGCTCCATCTTTTTTATACTTACAAGCGAAACCAATGCCAGTGCCTAATGGTACCTAAAATAATATTTAACGCTGAATGAACTGTTTGTAAGTCTAAAGAATAAGGGGTGGGCATATAGAACAAAAGAAAATAACAATGCATAGTTTGATGTCCTGACATCCAGTCACTGCTGAGCTTAATATACTTAAACTGCAAGACTGGAGCTTTGTCAGCATCATGGGCTACAAGCCGATGGCTTCAGTATATTTCCAGCATATCGTATCACTGCTGAAACTTGCATTCAAATAGATTAGCAAACACAGCTAAATCTCACACATCCACATCCCCGTGCTCATACAACCGGATCGGCATTTGCTTCACGCATAACGACAATACCTCCCGTGACTCCATCAACACCCCCAGGTACCGTCGGCAACCACTGGAAATATTATTAATATTATACCCTACCAATTATACATGATGGGTATAACATAACTTATTTTAATCCCCATAAAATAAATATATATATATATATTTAAATAAACTGTTCCCTAAACCATAACTATGTATATAATTTTATAATTCCATGTTACAACAACAACAAAACAAAGACTATCAGAAAATGTCAAGAAAAGAAAGCTTCTGTCACAAGCCTAAATTTTATGAAGAAATAGCCTTACTGCAGAATGCTATATGCCTACATTCAGTGATCCTTATAGGATATAACATTATACATCAAATAGATAAATGCATTAACTTTTACCTGCGCACCAACAATGCCGTTACCGCCGAAGAAATGTGGTGCATACATATGCATGGATCCACCTTTTCCACGTTGAACACCAATACCACGTCCAGTCAATTCTGCAATTAAATTTACTGGCGCAATTCCGGCTACCAGACACCAAGCATGACAACGATATGCTGTAATAAAATTATCATCTTTGCGTAGAGCTGCTTTCATGCCTATTAAATTTAAGTTCAGTTAAGAATAAAAATAACCCATATATTATAAAAACACATGTCACCTATGCAACAGGCTTCCTGGCCAGAATATAAATGACAAAAGCCTCGTATAATTTTTTCTTTATATAATGAAGCGCATGCATTTTCTAAGCGTCGAATAGTCTGCATTTGGGTGTAATAACGCAGGGCATCTTCTTTTTTCAGTGTCACATTTTCTTCCGGCATCGTTTCCAGTATGTGAAGTTTAAAAGCCTAAAATATTCAATACAATCAATCCATTATCAATGAATTACTTGCAAAAATTACATACATTTTCTAAAGCTATTGAAGCTTCATCTGAATAAGTTCTAACGCCCTTAAGTAGTGGCTGAGAGAAAAGCTTTACTCCAAATATCCGTTTTGCACATTTATTTCGAGATTGTATCGCAATTGACAGTCGAGTACTTATTGACCACATCTTAGGAATCAAACAATCGAACAACAGTATGCTCGATTCTTCGACAATACTCACAAGGTTTTTGCCCTAAATTTAGATATGTTAAGGTAAAATATATGTTAAATAAAATGACAAATAAAATTTAAACTATTTAACAGCTACTATTTATTTTTTATAAAAAATAAAGAATTAATAATTACAAATTTTTAAATATTTACCCATTTTTTAAATTTTTGACATATAAACCGTTGAACCAAAAATAAATATATATCTATATAAATTTTTACAAGATGTCTGAACATTATATGAATTTATCTGAACAGTAATTTGTGAAATTGACTTCAGCTAGTTCCATATAATATATACGAATATGGCTTAGCATTTAAAGGTTAGGATTTATGCACGATTTTTATGAGGAATGAGATAATACAAGTAAAGACACTCAGGCAAATGAAAACCCTTTTGTACTAGGCTAACTAACCGATACGTAATTGAAAGAAATAAAAGAAATTTCTCTTACTAAAACAGTACATCTCTAAAGTCCAAGTGTTGTGGAATATCCTTCATTCCAGAGATAATAGATATAAAATGTAATAAGTGCTGTTCTTATAATAAAGTGAGAAGAGTGGATGTAGATAGTTAGATTGAAACTCGTATCTCAGCCACTTCTAACAATTATTGCTGATTATCAAATAATCATTTGAATGTTAGAAAATAAACTAATATATTCAACCAAGAATCTTTGGTTATAGCCTAATCTAATTGCATATTTTTCAGCAACTTAAGCAACAAATACTAATTAATTTTCTACACATATATTTTTGGAACACATTTTTGAATTTAGAAGGTCCCAATCAATCTGTTTGCGTCATTAAATTAGTCCATGAATGCACTAAACTTTCCTTGCGTACACAACGACTTAACACTTCACCCACTCCATTGAACCAAGGTTCAAGCTCAATCAATTACTATCTATCCACATCCTAAGCCATATTTTTGTCTTGTAAATCCTTTTATGTTATCTGCTTTCCAGATCCCAGCGGATTACAACAATAACAACTCAACACTTCAACTTTTCCGTGGCCATTTCGGTATAACAGTGAACTAACTTTCAAAAACAGACTCTAATACGCCACCTTTTTTTATATCCCAACCATTAATCGGCCTACATAAACCTGTACTCAAGTTAAATATTGACTGTTGGATTCAAAGTGCATGAAACAATTAACAAACGGTGAATCACATCTTAGTCTTATCTGGCGCACTGAATTAGTTTCTTCAAAAATTAGTGAAAAGCCTTTCTACAGGTCTTCGAGTGATTCTATGTCACAAGAGTTATTAACTGCTAATTGATGCGATCACTATTCATACCACTTACGCCAAACAAACTCTTTTATTTTACGCCCGCTGACAACACCTCATGTCTGCTGACAACAGCTTATTTCCGTTTAATTTTGCTCACTCAAGATGCAGATATGAAACTCTCGACTTCAAATTTCAGTTCCTTACCCGTTTTAAGCTTTCTCAAAAGGAGCCAAAAAATTTTATTATACGTCAGGAATAAGTTTTAGAATTAACCTTTGTATATTGCGTGAATTGCATGGGTTGTTGTAACCCACTGGGAAGTTCTTTTGTGGTGTCGAACGGCACTTGGTCGTCGTTGGCGACGAACGACCCCGGGACGTAGACCCGGCCTTTTTTTGAACCTAGTCTTACACTATGACTTTCAGTACTTTCTACCTACTGAGAAAAAAAACTAAGTTCTGTGAGATAGTTCTTACTACTGTCTACTTTCTCACCTATCGTCCGTTAAAATATTTAATTAAAAATTATTTAAGTTATTTTTTTACGAATTTTTATTTTAATATTTCTCTAAGAATTTCGATTTGCATTACTATTTTATTTTTGCAAATATTTTGCATTAATCATGTACAATATAAATAAATATAAAACAAGAAATAATTTAGAAAAACAAAATTAAAATTTTTATAACAAATTTAACTATTCATATAAAAATCATTTGCCAATTAGTATAAGTATTGTACATAATTTCATATGAGTTTATAAACAAAAGTGTATAACTCACATAAAATATTTTAATTTACGTATTTAATTTAATGAGAATTTAGTTTGAAGCGTGTGGATTGGATTCTAATTTGCATGCCCGTCATTTTTGAATAAAAAAGCAATTCAATTAACTTTAATATAATCAAACAATGATGAACGGAACAGATTTGAAAACGTTCAAACTCGAAATTTCAACTAGATTCGTATCGCTGCATAAGTCTTTAATTATTGATGCCTTTGTTTTGATGAATATGATCTATATTATAGCTAGTAGTGCCACGAATTTTAGGTTCCAAATTCTGTGAATAAACATCGGTCCACAAACCGCTTACTGGCAGTTCTTTATCACCTCTAGCAATGGAATTAGCTTCTTCGACTTCTTGACGTACTTTTGTATCAATAGCCTAAATTGATATAAATCAAATATTTTAATTACATATTTCTTTAATAAAAAATTATATAATTAATTACCTTAATTTCATCAGTATTTAGTAGACCTAATTCAATGCACAATTCTTTAAAGGATGTTATTGGATCACGTTTTTGGCGTACTTCTTGAATTTCTTCACGTGTACGATAACTTGTACCCGGATCAGACATAGAATGACCAGAATAGCGATACGTATTTGTTTCCATTACAAGTGGTCCATGTTTATTGACATAATCAATGGCAAATTCAGTTGCGCTTCTTACTGCTAATACGTCCATACCATCGACCCAAATACCAGGTATCACATCACCTCGTGTATAATAGTCCGTGTTCATTGAAGCTCGCTCAGAACTTGTACCCATACCTAAAATATTTACAAATATATTTTAAAATATTTAAGAACTATTATTAGATAAAGTTGAATATATAAGTTTATATTTGAAAGGTTTATATTTGAAATGTGATATTTGGAAGGAAGGGTTTTACACTCGAGTTGAAGATGATATATGCTAATCCTGTCAATGGAAACAGACAGTGTAGAATACAACCTTTACTATATATTATGCAAATATGCCTTACTAAAGAATTATTTACATTTCTTCTTCGTTATTCTATCCCTACAATTTACCACAACTGAATATGTGGGAAATGTTATCGTACTCTCTTGAAAGACAGCCAGAACTTTGAGATCTAAGACAACGCTTTTTTAAAATATTGGCTATTACATGAAATTATTCTAGTTAACTTTATTTCTAGGCGAACTGCAAAACATCTTCCTGAATAGCATTATAAGCTTTGCCAAAGATTCTAAGTGGTTCTAACCCTTGAGTTTTTAATTATACACTAACACAATGAGCTTATAGGCCTAAGTGGAACCCTTGGAATTGCCGGTACCTACCTAATTTAATTTTGGATTTTACAAGCCTTCTTTTGTTATATTTACCTATATTTCATATACATTAATTTTTAAAAGCAAATTATTGTAAAACTTATTTTGATTATTAAAAAAAACTGTGCAAATGACATTATCAAAAACGTTTAAGGAAAAAAAAAATACTATAACTCTCTCTATGTCAAAATAAATATTAACAGTATCCATACTTTAATTACGTACTCCTATTCGTACTCTTATTTAACTGTTAGTTTTCTATATTGAGACATATAAAATGTGTTATATTTACCATAATTATTGTTTTCGCAAACAAAAATGCAAGGCAGTTTCCATAGAGAAGCCATATTATAAGCTTCAAAAACTTGACCCTGATTAGCAGCGCCATCACCGTACAAACTCAAACACATGCCACCATTTCCCTTGTATTGACAAGCAAGTGCAACACCAGTACCCAAAGGAACCTAGAATTTTAATAAATTAATTATTTTTGTTTAATATTAGTAAGGAAATCATTTTAACACGCACCTGTGCACCTACAATACCATTACCACCATAGAAATTAGGTGCATACATATGCATAGAGCCGCCTTTACCAAGCGAACAACCATTAACACGACCTGTCAGCTCAGCTAAGACTCCCAATGGTGAGATACCCATCAAGTAAGTCCAGCCATGGACTCGATACGCTGATATGATATTATCAACATCGCGCATAGCCGCTTTCATACCTAGAAATAGGAGAAGTTGATTATAAATATTTAGTTACAATATTTTAAATTATTATTAATATCTTACTTACCCACAGCACAAGCTTCTTGACCGGAATATAAGTGACAGAAACCACGTATAATTTTTTCTTTATATAAATTACCAGCAGCAGTTTCAATTCGACGTATCATCACCATTTGTTCATAATATTTAAGTGCTTCATCCTTGGTTATTGTAACGCTGGTTTCAGGTCCTTGATCGAGTCTGTGCAGTTTGAAAGGCTAAATATAAAATGATTTTTAATGATGAATACGCATACATGAGTTAGTTAGCGATAAATACTAGAACAAAAAGTGCAAATAATGAAGGATAACTTACTTTTTGGGATTTAAACAAAACATAAGCTGTAAATGATATTAAAAAATTAATATTAATGTTAGTACAATGATGTATTATTAAAAAAAAAACAAATGATTGCAATTATATTATACATAAGGAATAAAATAAAAGGTTTATAATTAAATGCATAAAAAAATTATTATAAATTATTAATTTATAAACTTATTTGTTATTCGTAAAAAGCTACCTCCAATTTGTGCGAAAATAATGACTCGGAAATATTAATGGCTTGGACATGTTCACAAAATATCACGACAGAAAATATCACTAAATAATTCTTGATATGACCCTCATTGCGCTCATAAACCAACTTTGAAATAGAACATAGCCGGGCGAGTTTAACCCCTGGTTTCTTCGACTGGATCCTGGTTAGGTTCAAATTACTCCCACCCCTCCCCTTTCCCTCATCCCAACACTCACTCCCACCTTTTCCATTCCTTATTCCCATGTATTCGTCTTGTAATCCTTTCATGTTATCTGCTTTCAGGACCCGGCGGGTTACAACAACAACAACAACAACAACCCCTGGAACCACTCGTCATTTTCGACGACCAACTGCTGTTCACCACCCTCAAAAGGGACTACATAACAGATCATCGCAGGCTACAGTAACTACAACATTCTTACCGGGATGAAATTATAAGACAATACGGCCTGAATTCGCCTGAATATCTTACAAGTGATTCATGGTTATATTTGGGTGTTGTTTCTTCACGAAAGTCATTTTTCCATCAGTGAAAATTTCAGACAGATCTCCGTAACCAGCGGCGATCTTTAGAACAAGTAAAGTCAAATGAATTATAAATACGTGTACCTGAGTTAGAATATACGCAGATAAGAGTAGTGTGAAAATGGAGGAGCTTGTTGTTTAAAAATATTTTGGGGGTGTGAAAAATATTTAATTGAAGTCAACCTCCTCGATTAAGGTGGAATAGGTTTCTCTACTTTAATCGGATTGAAGATGTATGTGTATTAGGGACTGCCACTGGTCTAGCCTAATTGCATTACAATTCAAGTGACCAGATTTCTCCGTTTGAACACGAGTTAGTTTTAAATCCTATCCAATCCACCTCCTTCTCACTATTTGCCTTTCCCCACCTATCAGCCACTATCCATGTACATGCCTACCCTTGTTTTCTTCTTATAAATTCTTTCATGTTATCTGCTTATAGGTCTTAACAGATTACAACAACAACAACCGTTCGATTCACTTGTTTCATCATCATCGTCATCATCATGGCTATACAGTCCATGTAGAAGCTAAACCTGTTTAACAACAACCTTCCATTCTTCTCTGTTTTTTGCTTTTGTCTTCCAATTTCTTATATTCATTTCTTCTAAATCCTACTGCACACTGTCTTTCCCTCGTTTTTTTGATCGCCTTCTTCTACTGCTGCTTCCTACTTCGTTCTCATAAATCTTAAGCAGTACTCTCATATCCGACATTCTTATCACATGTCCAAACTATCTTAATCGCTGGTTTTTTTTATAAATTTGTGATTCACTTGTTTGCTACACTAAAATAATAACTAAATAACTAAATTTTATTTTCTCTCTAGAATGGAATCCGCAAGAAACAATACCAAAAACTACATGAAGAAGGGCACTCAACAGAGAGCACGTGACAGAAATAGTTGAAAATCAATTGTGATTAGACTAAGTTCTTGATTTATATGTTTAAACATGTCAATAAAAATAATAAATTATATTTTATTTAAAAATATTAATTACTTTAATTACATAAGTATTAAAAATTAATTTATCAATCCTTTTGCTAAGCTTTTAAAAAATGCTGATAGCCGAGCAAAACTATGCCAAAAATAAAAAAGTTCATTGACCCAGAAATTGTGACCCATTAATTACGAACTTCAAAATAAACAAATTTTAATTAAAAATAAATAACTAAAAGTAAAAAATTCACACACAAATTATCTTCGTCACACATAAACAAAAACAATAAAAACATCAATGAAGGCACTTGTGTTTGCGGTAGGGAAAAATGTGATTTACTACGAGTCTTCCATCCCCAACCCCTAGAAATCGGTGTGAAGTGCTGATAAGGCAGCCAATCTCAAGCGGGAAAATTCTAGTGTGCAGTTAGACAAGTGTACAAATGTAAATTACTGATAACAAAAATAAATTAATAGAAAAATTTCGCTCTAAATTAATAAGTGCAATTTTCATGACCTTGAAGAGTATATGAAATGTGTTCTCGAGCAATTAAAAAAAAAACAATTTCCAATGCAAATAAAAACGCAACATAAATTACACCAAATTAACGTAAACTCGTGATGAAATGTTATCCAACACCATTATTTTTAATGACTTTTTAATAAAAAAAAAAAAAACAAACAAATAAAGACCCAACACTAGCAATGAATAATATAAGAAAATATTATGTAATATAAAATTTTTAAATGTGAATTCAAAAAAAAAATTGCAAGAATTATCCGCTGTGGTTGGTCTATTAATTTACCCGGTTCACTTGTACGGTTGCTTCGGTAGCATAGTTGTTTGTCTTTTGGACACCAGCTTGTGCTGCATTCTGGAATAAACCGAAAAATGATGAATTATTCCTTTGTAAATTCACTCTGTGATTTTGGAGCACCACATTTCTAACGTTAATTGGTTTACGTACTCTTTGCAATTGTCTTGATAAAACTGGCAATTCGCTAATACGTGCAAGTGTACGCAACATTTTATTTTAATAGTTTTCGAATCAAATTTACTTTAAAATATTTGCCAAAATCCCCAAACTCAACACAACTGCACACGACCAAAACGTATTAGTGCAAGAAATTCAATGCTTCTTCTTATATTTTGCCAACTGACACTGGAAGCTGTTATGCCAATTTGTAATGATGCCATACGCTTTGAGAAAATAGTGTTGTAAAATGCGACATTAGGTCTATTCGACGAGCTAATCGTAGTAAAACTGGGATAATACACTAATAATAAACTATGTTCAGACACACCTTAATTTCACAAAATTCTTTATTTCGTCTTTGTTTCAACGAAATTAAGTTGGTTTTTCCAAACAAAAATCAGTTTTAAGGTTAGAACGAAATTAAAGAAAATGCCCTTAATTTCGTTAAACGCAACATGAAATTAAGAGAAATTTCAAATGCAACTAAGTGTGAGATAAATTTTGAGCAAACGATAAAGTTGAGATAACAAAAAAGTGACATATTTTTTGAGTAAATGTCAATGACAGTTGACTTTAATGAAACAAGGAAATATTTTCACAATAGTGCAAATTTTTAAATTTGAGTATAGAGTAAGAACCGTAACTGTTATTAATTTAAAATAGAGTGAAAAATAATAATACGCAGGCATTAAATCCACTAAATCTAATAAAACAACTAAAGCTATCCTTTATAATTATAATAAACAATTTTTAAAATTTTCTAGATACAAATATTGTTTCTAGGATGTTATTTTTAACATTCGATTTGCAAACCAAAAAACATATTTATTTCCTTAATTTGGAGTAGTGTGAACACTTTCGAAATTAAATTAATTTCATTATTACCAAATTAAGAAAATTTGGCTGTCTGAACATAGTATAAAGTACTAACTAAAAGCGTAACACAAATAAACTGCCAGATTTTACATAAATCTCTTTATGGCTCTTTTCATAAATTTTCATGGGACTGGTTTGTGTAAAATCTGACGAGAACAGCTGTTTTTTGACAAACAAAACAATAGAAATTGAAGTTTAAAAATATGAGAGCGCAATATACATTTTAAAAAACAAAAAAAGTTTTATAACAATAAGCGCAAATAATTTTATATATTATTTAAAATTATTTTATTTAAATTTAAATATTATTTTACTAAAGTGTCTTAGAGTACTGTTGAAAATTAAATTTAATATTAAAAATGTATTTTGTGTATTTATTACAGAAATATCTCACTATCTCGAAGTATATTAATTACTATTTTTAATTACTTTATATTCTGTCTGTGTTGTATTACTTAGTTCACTTAAAAAAATATTAATTATGTTTTTTTTTAGGTACATTTAATTATTAATTTATTTACAACAATTAATACATATATTTATGACCAAAAATTATTATTATAATAATTTGTTACCGGGCTAATTGGTCAAATTTAAATATAAATAAAAAGACACTGATATATATTTAAATTTGACCAATTAGCCCGGTAACAAATTATTATAATAACAATTAATACAATTAAAATAAACAGTTCGAAATTGTGCATACATGGAGTGACTGAAAGTTATTACGAGCAGCTCGTGGAACAGACCTAATATGTTATCTTATGAAATCCGTATGACTGATTCGAAACATTCCAGTGTGGCAACCATAGTTTATATGGAAGTAAAGATCAAAACAAACAAAAAATATGACGAATGACATTGGAAAGCAAATTGCAAATAAAAACAAACTATTTTTTGGGAATGAAATAAAAAGGAAAAATAATGCAGACTGCATTTTTATTTTGCAAATTATTTAATTTTTACTATATTTTTAATAAATTTACTTTTGATTTCAAATGTTTTTATATATTGCAATTTTATTCGATAACTTTTCGCGAATTATTAATAATTGTTAGGTATTTTAGCACATATTCTTTATTTTGACTTTAGGTTCACTTAATTTGCGTGTAGAATAGTAGAAATTGAAGTCAGAATTTTCTTCCATAAATAATTTTTGAGCTGTAAATAGAAATAAAGTATATTATAAATATATGTATCTCATATTAAATATAACTTAGAATTTATAAAAGAAATTACTTTTGACTTTATTTTAGAACACTATTTTGTTGGCCTTTAAGTTAAACTATTAAAATAAAATAACAGTAAGCTACTTTCAGAGAAATTAAAAATCTGCTATTTTAATGTTTATATTATTTGTAATCGTCACGTTTCGAAAGCTTAAATTCGACAAATGTGACACTTTCGAAAAAATTAAATTTTACAGCTTATTGATTAGAAATTAACAACAAATTATTAACAACATAATTAATTATATAGTTTAATCATAATAATGCGTTTACTCAAATCACTCTACATATCTATATGCAATAATCATGTCTTTTTTCATACAAAATCTTTACAAAGCTATGCTTATGGAACTCAAAAATTGTTACTCTAATACTAATATTGTTTTCAATTTGTAAGTCTCGGATAAGTTTTTCAATCGAGATTTACTTTTAATGCAATTTTTATACTCGATGTTTAATTTTCCATCGAAATGTATATCACTAGAGTTGAATTTATAACACTAGATATTTTGCTAGAGTAGGAAGATTACCCTAAAATTAACTGTTGTTTTATATGACTTGATAAATAAAGTGTAATTTGATTTGATATATCAATTTATGAAAAACTTAAATGTTTACTAACACAACTACATAAATGTTAGATTACTCTAAAAATGTTTGATTGGGAAGAATAAGACAGATCGAGAGCAAATATAGATTGAATCCAAATTTACCAAACGAAAACACTATAAGCTTATAGTCAATAATTATAAAAATTTTGTTGATTCCTTTGAAAAAATAATGTGAATTTTTTTACATGGCAATGAAATCAGTGGAAAGTAGAGCAAAAGACCAAGCGAACAGCATTATAATTTAAAATCAATGTAATAAAATTATTTTAGATTAAGAAATAAAAAATAAATGGTAAAAATTGCTTCAACTTCAGAAATTATATAATTTTTTATGTAAAATATATTCAATAATTTGGTTTGGGCTTTCAATTTCTTCTCAATATGAATGCATGTATGAATGCCATATTGGAAAATTTTAAGATTTTATTATTTAATAAAAAATAATTACAAAATAATTGTTCTCTTTTAACGTTATTATAACTATATAGATTTTTTAGAAAATGTAACTAACTGTTACAAATTATAGAGATAATTACACAAATACACGGATTACTACTAATAATTGCTTAAGCATATATTAATTTTAAAATTTCTTTGAATAATGCGCTTTGTTTCTAAGTGGCAACACTTAAACATGTTCTCTTCTTCTTTTACATTTGTTTACATCGCATTATAGAACAAAAACAAAACATTTGACATTTCGCAATGCCGCCAGTTCTTTGATAAGTGAAAACATAAATACTTTTATTTTATTTCACTTAAATATAAGAACAAATTACGAAAATGCCTAAAGAACAGTTTAGAGAAGCTGATGTTATTAAAAAAATGTAAGTAAAGTTATGAAGTTATTAATAATATGTTATACATAACATTGTTTATAACAGCTCCCACGTGCAATTTGCCATAAGTAGTCCTGAAGAAATTCAGCAGGAGGCACATTTGCGAATTATTTCCAAAAACCTATATCAAGGACAAAGAGAACCTGTTCCATATGGTGTATTGGATAAACGCATGGTAAAATTTTGTACTTTTCTGCTTAACAGATTATTATAAAAAATTTTTATTTACAGGGTGTCAGCACAAAAGATGCGACATGTGACACTTGCGGGCAAGGGCTTAACGAATGTATCGGTCATTTCGGTTACTTAGATTTAGCTTTGCCTGTTTTTCATGTTGGACATTTTAGAGCAACAATATCTATATTACAAATGATATGTAAAAGTTGTTCGCATGTGATGTTAAAGAATGTTGATAAAAAAATTTATGAAAATAAATTGCTTAATCCAAATTTATCATACTTATCAAAAAAAGCTATACATGGACAAGTGTTAACAAAAGCTAAGAAACAAACCAAATGCCCAAATTGTGATGCAATGAATGGTGGTGTAAAGAAGGGACCGGGCCTTTTGAAAATATTGCATGATCCATACAAAGGCAAGAAAACGGATTCAATTTTTTCTAATGCTTTAGATGAATTGCTGCAAGCTACTGAAAATAATCGTGAACTGCATAATATGATACCCAGCTATAATCAAGTGGAGGAATTAAATCCTTTAACTGTTTTAGAGTTATTTAAAAGTATACCCAAAAATGATATACCATTGCTTGGTATGACTGCTGAATCTGCTAGTCCAACTAATTTAATAGTTACTAGAGTATTTGTGCCACCAGTTTGTATACGTCCGTCAGTACTATCGGAAATAAAAGCTGGCACGTAAGTATGCTAAATATACAGTCAAACATCTGTAACTGAAACTGCTATAAGTCGAATTTTCTATAACTCAAACTAAATAGAGTGCAATAGGGTTTAGAGAGCAAATTACTTACAATTACAAAAAAAATCTTAAGTCGAACCTTTTCTTTGCCAAATGGTACTTGCAGTTATGGAAATTTGACTGTAATAATATTAATTTAAAAAACAATTAATATTAATTAATTTATAATTTCGTTTAGCACTGAAGATGATTTGACTATGAAACAAAGTGAAATTTTACTTATAAATGATGTTATACAAAAACATATGTCCGGTGGTGGTAAAATCGAGTTGATACAAGAGGATTGGGACTTCTTACAATTACATGTTGCGCTTTACTTTCACAGTGAAATATCTGGTATACCACTTAATATGGCTCCAAAGAAAACCACACGTGGCATTGTGCAACGTTTGAAAGGCAAACAAGGTCGCTTTCGTGGTAATCTATCTGGCAAGCGTGTAGATTTTTCAGGACGTACTGTCATATCTCCTGATCCCAATTTAATGATACACGAAGTAGGTGTACCTGAACGTGTTGCTAAAATCTTAACCTATCCAGAACGTGTTAATCCAGCTAATATTATAAAAATGAAATTACTTGTCAAGAATGGCACACAAAAGCATCCTGGCGCTAATTATGTACAACAACGTGGTTCATCATTTAAAAAATATCTAGCTTATGGTAATCGTGATAAAGTAGCACATGATTTAAAATGTGGTGATATAGTGGAACGTCATCTAAACGATGGTGATGTTGTGCTCTTCAACAGACAGCCATCGCTACATAAAATGTCCATCATGTGCCATCGTGCTGTGGTGCAACCACAACGAACTTTTCGTTTTAATGAATGCGCTTGTACGCCTTATAATGCAGATTTTGATGGTGATGAAATGAATTTGCATTTACCACAAACTGAGGAAGCGCGTGCGGAAGCTTTAATACTTATGGGTAATATGTCGAATTTAGTTACACCCAAAAATGGTGAAATACTTATTGCTGCTACACAAGATTTCATAACTGGTGGCTATTTACTAACGCAAAAAGATCAATTCCTAACTAAGGAACAGGCTATGCAATTAGCTGCTTGCTTTATGGCATTATCTAATAGAAGTATGCGAATTGATATGCCAAAACCAGCGATTTTAAAACCACGCAAATTATGGACTGGCAAACAAATATTCAGTTTACTTATGCGTCCCAATAAAACATGTCCTGTACAAGTTAATTTAATAACCAAAGGACGAAATTATACCTCTAACTTTGATATGTGCGTTAATGATTCATGTGAGTATTTGATAAGTTTTAATTAACTTTGAGAAATGATAGATAAATTTTTTTTTTTGCTTTAGGGGTTGTGATTAGAAATTCTGAATTACTTTGCGGGTCTATGGATAAAACCACTTTGGGTTCGAGTAGTAAAAATTGTATATTTTATGTGATTTTGAGAGACTACGGAGAAAGCTATGCTACAATATGCATGTGGCGTTTGGCTAGAGTAAGTTTTATGTACTGATTCTTTTGTATTATGGTTACATATAATTTTGTAATTTTTTTGGTAGCCTCAGTAGTGTAGTGATTAGCAATCACTATCGTTGCTATCGTAGAAGTTAGAAAAGTGTCCCATAAAATTTTTATTTAATGTATTTGAAATTTTAATGGTAGCCTCAGCAGTCTAGTGTCTAGCAACCTTGAGAGCATTGGCTACAAGTTCCGATTTCGAATCGCGTTGAAAGCGAATGCTTTTAATGTGTGTTCCATATAATGGAGCACATAATTATGTGTTTTATATAATTTTTATTAAATGTTTGCTGCGGATGAGTTTATTAATATTAGTTAATTGAAGTCTTTACTGTTTTATTTATAAATTCCTACAAGACAATGCAGTGTCTTTACTTTTTCTTCTATTTAAAGTTGTATACAAAATTCCTACAAAATTTTCTCTGATTATATTTACATGCAATTTCTTGAAAATTTGCGTCATTGTTGTTTATTGTTTGTATTTACTTAATTACTTACTTTATGTTTGTAATTAAATTTGCATTATTTCTTATTGAATTCTTGTAATTGTTGTACTTGCCACTACAAGTTTAACTTATCACTACAAAATGTCGTGCTCTTATCAGCTCACCTGTTGAAAATTCCCCCAACGAAATTCAATACTTATTTTTAACATAAATAAATCAAATTAAATGATTTGTATTCTATTTTATTATTTTAATATAAATTAAAAATCTAAAACAAATCAGATAATTTCGTATTTATGTATTAACGTCTGCACGTTGTGTTTTATAAACTCTATCTTATCTGAGATATACGAAATTAATAATTAAACCTTTTATAAAAAAGAAAAATAATAATTTTAATTTCCTTTTTTACTTATAAAAAATATTCGTTTTACGTTGCTAATTTTTTTTTTTTTATTAAAAAAATTTAATTTCTGTAAACAAAATTCAACTAAAATTGATATTTGTTATTTTTTGTATGTAATCAAGGAAGGATGTCAATCGCACATAACCAGATGGATAACCTTCCGTACACATATCTTGTGCCACAAATGAATTAATACCAATTTGCATATAGTTACCATTAGCGTCACGTGCTATTAATGGACCGCCTGAATCTCCACTGCAAATTGACATGTTACTGCCATTATCACCTTTTGCACATAAAGTTGATTTAACGACCACATCTGCACCAAATATACTAAGGCATTCATTATTATTGATTATATCAACTCGTGCATAAAGTAAAGTTTGTGAGAAATCCATGTACTCATCATCTACCAGACCAAATCCCGCTATAATTGCCACCGTGCCAATAAAACTCTCACTCGCCATTGTTGATGGCACCAAGGCAATAGGCTGAATTGTATTGGAAAATTGCAAAGGTTGTGGCAATTGAATTAAAGAAACATCATTATTCAAAGTGGCACTAGAATAATTGTCGTGTATGTACATGCTAGTAGAGGTCATCGAAACTGCTTTGCTATCATCCAATAAGATAGTTCCAAATATTAAATAAATAGAACTTAAACCATAAGTGCAATGAGCTGCGGTCAACACCCAATTATTTGCAATAATAGAACCACCACAAAGTAAATCGTCCATTTCATCTCTCTTTAAAATTACCTGCCAAGGGAGTTGACCCAATGCAGCTGGTGTACCAGATATGATACGTCCCTCCTAACATACGAATAAAATTTTATATTATTAAATTTTCAAACTTTTAATTACACTTACAATTCCACGACTCTCCACTGCATTCTCTCCAAGCACACTTAACAGTGCCAATAAACACAGAAAAGCCACAACCACTTTCATTTCTATTTCTACAAATAGTTACGAGTATTAAATAAACTACGCACGCGAACGTCGATATCTTTCTAAAGTACAACGTTAATCCTGTACGTCTATATTTTCAATAAAACCGTCTTAACAAGTCTGTTGGTCTGAGCACGGTGTCTTCAAGACTGTGAGTGAACTTTTGCAAACTTCTGTATTTTGTAAACATTTTAACTTAGCAATTAACGTTAAATGCTTTATACTTTATGGCAAATATCTATTTGATTTTTCATTGATAAGATTGCAATTGCTAAACTATGACGTTTCAGTCTGAAACAAGTGTAAACACGTTCATTATTATGAGACCTTAACACCATGGAATAGTTGTACACTTTTATTGAACTTCATTTTTAACTGACTGAACATTTTTTTCAATGTCAATAACGAATCTGGTTCTCAATCAACTGATAGATTGTAACAAATATATGAAAAAAAAATAATCCATTATAATTACGTGCAATGATAGGTTGTACACGTCTATTCCTATTGTGTACCCAAACTGCAGCTCTACCCCCATGACACCGCCCATCTGTTTTCTTGTCTCTCTACGCTCACGAATCTTAGTCCAATTGATCTTTGGAATCATCCTCTTGCTGAGGCTAAGTTTCTGCAACAGGACACGGATTGATTTCAATTATATTCTCCCCAAACACCACCCATCCACATCTCACCCCATATATTCGCCTTGTAATCCTTACATGTTATCAGCTTTTCAAATCCCGGCGAACTACAACAACAACAAAATCTTATTCCCATGAGTGGGATATCATCGTTGTTGGTTTGTAGTTGGTTATGCTTGATTTGCTATCGATAATGGTTTAGATAAGAACCTAAAACATCAGTTTGACTTGTTCTTTGTTTTCGTTTAATACTAAATAACTAACAAAATACACCAATAAGGGAAATAGTATTAGTGATTCAGGATAATTATTTATTTAGTGAGGCTTTACGATGACTCGTTATTTATTACCTTTTAAAACAGAGCTACAAAACGGATGTAAATTAAAAACCAAAACAACTGATATTCTTGTCGGAGCGAAAGTTGGTACCGATATTAGTTACTAAACTAAATTCACTTCAAAAACCTATATTTATCTTCATGTAAATAAAAGAGATATGATGTCATTCTTATCCATCAAAACAAAGAGGAAGTTATTGTAATAAATTGATTACATTTTTATTAGGTCATAATCAGAATAGATTAAAATTTTTCACATATTTAATTTGTTATTATCAACAATTATGGATTGTTTACTTTTTTTACTATATAGGTTTTTCATTCAAGATTTTATTGCTATGAAATATATATTAATATCGTCATACCTAATATCAAACTTATTACTAACTGGTCATTGTACCTCTGCTTTCAGTCCATGTTAATTACTATTTAATTCTAATATAACATTTTTTTTTCCTTAACGAGATATTTTCATTATAACTCAGCTTTCATAACCAAAAATTAATTCAATGTTTAGAAGTTTCAAATAATTTTAACAGAGATCCTATAAATCCTTTTCAATATACTATAAGCAAGTAAAATCGACAGCAGTGAGATCACAAAATTTTTTAATCCCAAAGACATAAGGTATAATAAATATAAAAATATAATAAAAAATTATTAGAGAGGGTTTGAACAGCATGGGACTACAACAACAAACATTTTTATAATATTTTAATCGAATTTTTGACTGACAATACAACAGTTTCGAGTATTGCAAAATACTCACCATCATCATCATCTCTACTGATGATGGGTATTTGTCAATACTCGAAACAGCTGTATGGTCAAAATTTTGTTGTTCTAGTTCACTACTTTTCGAAATCTCTCTATTAAATATAATAATTTCTAATAGTAGTGAAGTAGTCACCTCTGTCACATAACTGACGTTAAAATGCAATAAACATTTATTTATTTAATATATATATTGTGTGATGTGGGGACAGCCCACCGTCTAACAAGTGGCCCCACTAAAATGAAGCATTAGCCGAAATAGATCACGAAACGACTTGGGTCCTTTTGCGCCCTTCGATTCTCGGATGTCGTTATTAAATTAAAGCTAGATTGGCCTCCGTTTGAATAACTACATCGTTTGTTAATGCAAGCAGCTCATTTAACTTGAGATTGTCTGCCAAATCATTACCAACCTAATAGTGTTGGGACAGTCTTCCTCCTGCTTGCCAGTACTAGACATTGGCACAATATATGCACCGCTGTCTCATTTTTTTCTAGACATAGTCCGCAAGTGTCTTGCTCAACAAGAGTTATCTTTTTGAGGAGATATTGAAGTTTCCATGTCCCACATGGAAATTAATTAAAAAATAAACATTTTTTATACACAATAAATAAAATAATAATTATAAAATAATATTACAGTAAAGTTGGGATTCCTAAAATTGTCTCCTTATGAAACGTTAAGTGAGTTGATGATTATAAGTTTGGTTTACTTACAGAAGATTTTGGAATTTAGCTTGGTTCAATTATATTGAATAAGTGCCAAATTTTCACAATCTCTCAACAATATTCGATATTTAACTGCTGTCGAGAATATAAGATAGGCTTACTTTTTTGGTTGAACCTATTAATCCGTCGGTAAAGTTTGACATGACGTATACCTTCTCTAGTCATCTATAAACGCTCTTCAAAAACTCTCTTAAGTTATTTGTTGACATTATGAATTAAATTTATTTCACTATTTTGATGCAAATATTATATGGAATTCTCCCGTAAATTAATAAACAATTTTTATGACAGTTGGTAATTTTCTGAATGAAATGCATACATTCCAAAAATTGACTAAAAGCAATTAATCTTGTTATCAAATCAGATAACTCACTATAAAAGCTTATACCTATGTAATCTATAAGAGTGTAGTGGGTTGTTAGTTAAGAACAATAACTTCTGCAAACACTTCTTAGGAAATTCTGTTTATATATTGTTTTGATAGAGATTCAGATAACAGACATTGACCCAATTCTCAGAATTGTATTGTATTTATATATGAATATTTTGCTTTTTATATTATTTGCATTAAAATTAAAATATAACTGGAAGTACCCTAATCTACAAACCATTAAAATATTATTTATAGATTGCTTCCTACTTTATACAAAATCGTGGTTTCTCATTTGGTATTAGTGATGTCACGCCTAGTGCGAAACTATTGGAAGAAAAGCAAAACTTACTGGAAAAGGGTTATCGAAAATGTGATGAATATATTTTGGAGATGAAAAAAGGTACACTACAATGTCAACCAGGTTGTACACCCGAACAAACACTCGAGGCAGTCATGCTACGTGAGTTATCCAGTATACGTGAACAAGCGGCCAAAGCTTGTTTCCGTGAACTACATCCCACAAATAGTGCACTTATAATGGCACTTTCCGGTTCGAAAGGTTCAAATATTAATATATCACAAATGATAGCTTGTGTGGGTCAGCAAGCCATCAATGGTAAAAGAGTACCAAATGGTTTTGAAGATCGTGCTCTACCACATTTCGAGAAATTTTGTAAGTTAGAAATATAAATATTATATATGCCGGAATTATTTATTTTAAATATATATTATAAAATCAGCTGCAATTCCTGCTGCTCGTGGTTTCGTACAAAACAGTTTCTACTCTGGTCTAACGCCCACGGAGTTCTTTTTCCATACAATGGCTGGTCGTGAGGGTTTGGTCGATACTGCTGTAAAAACTGCTGAAACTGGTTACTTGCAACGCCGTTTAGTTAAGGTAAATCTATATTCTCATTATAATATTATATCTTAACCATGTATACAAAGACTGAATTACCACCTAAAAAGATAAGACAAATAAAAGATGATTCTTGAGACTCTGCAAGGAAACCTTTGAGCATGTGCTTTACATATGTTCCGTTGAGGTTAAACGCACAAACCTTCGACCCTGTCAGGAAACCTTTGAGCAAATTCTTTACATATGCCTCGTTGAGGTTGAACGCAGAACAAGTTATTTATAAGACTGGACTTTTGAGTTAGCTATTGTTATAAATGGTTTTATATATAGACTTATAAATAGTCTAGGACTGCTACAGTGCTATGTTGATTAATGGGTGTACAAAAGATTTTCTAAATCGCGGTGTACTCATACTGACAAAGAAGAATGACTCAAATAAGAAGAGAGTGACAAAGAGACATTGATAGAAAGAAGTAGAAAGTGGGAGACCAAAATAAATTCTTATGATCCATAAATCTATAAAAATTTTTTTAATTTTCTTTATAGTGTCTTGAAGATTTAGTTGTACATTACGATGGTTCCGTACGAAATGCTATTGGTGAAATTGTTGAACTAACTTATGGTGGTGATGGTTTAGATCCTGTACATATGGAAGTAAAAAATAAGCCAGTGGATATGGTACGTCAATATAATCATTTACAAGCTACTCATCCTTATCGTAATGAACCACCACTTCGAGCTGAGGATATAATGCAAACGACCAAAAAAATTTTAGAAGAAGAAGAATTTTCAAAGAGTCGTAAGGACTTTCAACACACTATTTTGTTAGTATTATTTGAGGGTATATACACTGTGCTGATATTCTTTAATTATTATTTTTTTTTTATTAATTACAGAACATTTATGCAAAAGGTTACTTTACAAATCTACAGTATTCATAAGAAATATCAGCATCATAAGTTAAGACATGAAATTGGAAGACTGACAGAAGGTCAAATACGTTCTTTCTTACGTATGGTTGATAATAAATACAATATGGCTGTGACCGAACCTGGAACTGCAGTGGGTGCTATAGCAGCACAAAGTATTGGTGAACCAGGCACCCAAATGACATTAAAAACTTTCCATTTTGCTGGTGTTGCATCTATGAACATTACACAGGTTGGTCAAATTATTATCTATAGGGTGTAACATTTTTATTGTCAATATTAATCATTGTCAATATTATTGAGGTATGATGACCAAGTATGCTTGCTTTCAATGACCAAGTATTACTTACAATTTCCATTGAGGGTTTATGTTGTTGTTATTGCTGTATCCTAAAGAAACCTGCTTTTCGGTTTCGGTTAGGTTGAATGAGTGCCACTGTTTTGTCTTTAATAGACAAGGTGTTTTGGGCCGCAGGACCTGCTCGTTCTTACGATTCGTATTTGTAAGAAATAATAACTAAGTAGGTTGAATGAGTGCCACTGTTTTGTCTTTAATAGACAAGGTGTTTTGGGCCGCAGGACCTGCTCGTTCTTACGATTCATATTTGTAAGAAATAATAACTAAGTAGGGTTATACAACAACAGAGGTTTCATCTAAGCTAAAATAACAACATTAATATATTTCTTTTATATAAGAAAACATTTTTCTGTCTGTTATTGTTGTTATAACTCACTGGGATCTGCTTATAAAATCCATTTTGGGGGATGGTGAATGGTACTTGATCGTCGTGGTTGACGAGTCGCTATAAGGCGTGGACCCCGTAAAACGGTCGTTATTGGAACCTTCCTCTTGCCTAAATTTATATATTAATAGAAACTTGGACAGATGAAAACTCCTGTTAGATGTAAAAATCGCCCTGATTTAAACTCTTTAAGAAACGTACAAGTTAGCTGCTTTAACTTAAGCGTGATCTGCTCGGCACTACGGTATCGATGCTGACGGTTTACTGCGCAGTAGAGGGACATACTATGAGACTTGGTGTACATCATGTCATTATCATTTTGTCAATATTGTGGCTCTGCGGATAAGCAGGAAACGGTACTCCACCATTTGTCTCAATGTCCTTTTCATACCGATCTGATAAAGCTGTCATTCTGCAAAATTAGGGATTTGTCCAAATAAATAGACTCGTCAAACTGGTTTACTTTCACTTGCATTTGATATCATGTTATTGTGAATGTAATACTGTTGTGATACCACGGAATGGACTTTAGGTATAAAGCCGGCTCTCCAACTCAACCTAACCTTCAACAGAGTTTCACATGTATTATAATTATAATTAATTTTTTAGGGTGTTCCTCGTATTGTTGAAATCATCAATGCAACAAAAACTATATCGACACCAGTGATTACAGCGGAAATAGAAAATAATACAAGCATGGAGCATGCACGTAAGGTGAAAGCACGTATTGAGAAAACCACATTAGGAGAAGTAAGAAATTCTTAAATAATTTTTAATTTTATTTAATATATTTGTTCTTTCCAAACTTAGGTTTCATCATATATAGAGGAAGTCTACAGACCAAATGATTGTTTCCTGGTTATTCGTTTAGATTTGAGTCGTATAAAGGTTCTGGGCTTGGAAATAAATGCAGAGACTATACGTTACTCGTAAGTAAATCCCTTACTATTTTTAAAGAAATATTAAAATTCCAAATTTTATAACATTTTTAGTATTTGTACTTCAAAACTGCGTGTGAAGCCGGCATTGGTTGATATTATAGGTGCCTCTGTGCTAACAGTACACATAGACTCCTCCAAACACGGTTCCGCACTTAATGCAGAAATGCAACGTTTAACAACTGCTATACCAAATGTTGTGGTTGCTGGTTTATCCAACATATCTCGCGCTGTCATTGCGATAGACGATACACGCACACCACCAACATACAAACTATGTATTGAGGGCGCAGGTTTGCGTGATGTTATGGCAACATATGGAGTTATAGGTTCGCGCACGAAAAGTAACAATATTTGGGAAGTCTATAATACGTTAGGTATAGAGGCTGCGCGCACCACAATTATGACTGAAATTACAGAGGTCATGGAAGGACATGGTATGAGTGTAGATCACCGACATATCATGTTATTAGCCAGTCAAATGACATCGCGTGGTGAAGTTTTAGGCATAACACGTCATGGTTTAGCTAAAATGCGTGAAAGTGTATTTAATTTAGCCTCTGTAAGTTTTATTAAATATTGAATATCGTTTATTTTATTATATTTTATGATTTTTTAGTTTGAAAAAACTTCGGATCACTTATTCGATGCAGCTTACTACGGTCAAACCGATGCCATCGATGGTGTGTCTGAGCGTATCATTCTCGGTATGCCTGCCTCAATTGGAACCGGTTTATTTAAACTTATACACAATCATGGTGAACTGAGTCTGCCTGACATCGAAACGCCACTCTTCAAGACATAAACGTTGATATTGAATAACATGCTAAATTGTTAAATACTTATAGAGTAAGTTATATGTTAAGAAAAACAAATAAAAAAACAAACAAATTTGTTTACATACTAAAAACTAAATTTATTTCTCGAAATTTTCAAAATAAATACAAAAGAAATTAAAATTTTCTTAATTCGTTGGTAAACCATTTCATAAAGTGCGAATGGCTTCTATAAAAACAAATACGTTTAACTTATTAAAATAACTTAAAATAAATTTCTGCGCTGTGTTGGCACACGTTTGTTGTGTAGATATTATAAATATAATATAATCACCCATTATATTTGCATTATAGGAGGCGCATTGAATTAGAATGTATATTTATTCCATACAACTTAAAAATAAATACGAACTGCTTCATCAGCGTTTTGTTCTACCGGGCAGTATGGACATTTTAGTATATGTGCATTGCTAAGTTTATGTAAAGCATCATTTGAAATCACATGCCCACAAGTTAATCTCTTTGGCGGATTATCTTCAGTGGTTTGCTGTCGTAATATGGGACAAGCAAATATTGAATGATAACGATTTTCAGGATCCAATTCAATTTCAATTGGCAGCTCATCACGTCCACTCCAAATGCTCAACACTTGGCGAGACTGCATAACCTATATATATATAAAAGAATAATATACAATTAAAAGAATGATATATAATTAATAGAATTATAATCTATATATAACAAATGTATTCTAGTACTATCAGGCAGGTTCCAAGTATGGCCTGATTTACGTCACGGCACCACTCGTCAAGTTTGACGACTAAGTATCGTTCTCTACACCCAAAATGGACTCCACAAACAGCTCTTAATAAAAAGGAATTAAATACTTGCAATGATATCAATGAATGCAAGGTATTCGAAATATTTCTCGAGACCTCGAGAATATATCTTTAGTTATTCCAAGTCTAGGTAGGTGGGTCAGGGAAAAGGTAGACCGAATTTTCTTCCTTCCACATTCCTTGTAAATTTCGCGTCTACTGCTTACAATTTTTTTTTCAAGTATATGACTTCTTAAATGATCTATATCTAACGTTGTTGTTGTTATTGTAACCTGCGAATATCTATCAAGCAGATAACATGAAAAAAATCACAAACACGTAATTAGGATGTGGGTTATTGTGGTGGTAATCCGCTGGGATTTAAAATCAGATTACATAAAAGGATTTACAATACGAATATATCAGTTAGGATATGGATGGGTGATGGTTGTGCGGGGAATTGGGGTAAAGGGATGGGTTGAGGAGAATATCCCTCCACTCTCCTCTAGTATTAGAGGAGAGTGGATTGTCACGGAGTAAGAGTGGATTAAGGATAGTTGGAAGGAAGGGTTCTACAAAACATTATTCTATTGATTTACCCATCTGAGTAACATACAGGATCGTATGGCCTGAACAGCAATTCATTATGCTCTTTTCCAAGAAGCATTTTTGGATTTTACGTACCCTAATGCCTTAATAATATCTTAATTAACTAATATACAATTCTATAATATTTTAATATCTCTTAAACAATTGTAAAATAAATTAAATATATTAAATAAATATGGGACGTGTGGGAGTTAGGCTAAGTTGATGCTAAACCAAATGGGAGCTTTTTTGGGATTTTTTGCACTGCACACATTTAGTCATTTATGAACACGTATCGACACATCACTACATTATCGGCACAACATAGAATTTTCCTCATTTAGAACGCAACTTAGCCTAACTCGCACACGTCTATGATATCTTACTTGTTTTATATTCAACAGTGCCGGTAAAGCAGTACATCCAGCGTTGATAACAACTGACAATGCAGAATTCTTGCTTATACCAAGCGTATTGCAAGCATCTTTCATAAATATATATGAAGCTTCAGTCCAAATTTCTGGAGAAATTAAATGTGCATATGGTGATTTCTCAATGCCCAATGGAAGATATATAAAACAACCCATTAAAGTTGGTATTTCAGTTTCGAAACGATCAATAAATTTTGAAAAATTATTTCTGGCATAAGCGATTGCCTCAGCTTGTGCATCCATGCCGCGCGATACAATCTGAAGAAATGCTAAACGATGTAATTTAAATTCCAACGATGAATTCTTTGCAATTAATTCATTGGAATAACGTGCAGCCCATTCTAATGCAGGTCCCAATTCCTGTTGTTGTATAGCTTTCCAAATGCTATAAACTTCAGCAAAACTGCTTTCTGAAGCAAAAACCTCTTGTGCCATTTCTTCTGGCATACCAGATTCTTTAATGAGTAGCTGTGCTACATCATCCATACCTTGACGACAATAATGCTTAGCCATAACTTTATTTAATAACATCATATTATGATCATCTTGTAGTGCATCAATACGTGTTATGGCTGTATAATCTGAAACAAAATTACGATCAATCACTTTTCCAACTTTCGATACGGTGCCATGTATATCTCTATGATTTATCGATAATTGTTGTACTCTCTCATTAGCTTTGCGTAATGTATCCAAAATATTATTTATTTGTGGCTCTGATAAACGAGCAGGAGCAGCTAAAATATAAATAATTATTGTGAATAGAATATTTTTATTTTTATATTTAATTAATTGTTTTAAGAAAACATACGTTCCATTTCCACTTGCATGTCCGATTCATCCGACATCTCAATATCACCTGGTCCATCCACTTGTGTACTTGTATTGTAAATGTTTACCATTTCTTGTTCGGCTTTATGCAATGTTTCCAACAAATCTTCATACAACGTTGCAACCTCAACAAAGCAAGCTCCGGTGGATTCTTGCAATTCATCAAACCTAGTCATAACGCGGTCAAGTTCCTTCTCAACTGCGAGGCATGCATCTTGATCCATTCTTACTTTTTTGCTGCTTAAAGTAATTCAAATTAAAAGTAATTCGCACAAAATATTAATATTTTAATATTTGATAGTGCAATGATATTTATTTTACAATTTTTATTGTGTTTTTGTTTTTTAATTTTGGAACTCTTTTAGATGATTTATTTCTTTTTTTGACTTGAAACCTGCGCAATTGAAAATTTCTTAGTTTTTCTTTATGGAAAATATGAAAACAAAAGCTGATTTTGATTTTCTTTTTGAAAGGCGTTGCCACTCGTAAAATTTCGATTTTAAAATTATTTCTAAGAAATAATCTTGGTTTAAATGGATCTGTTGAAGTCTGTTGGGAACATCGTTCTGACTTGGCCATTTACAGCAATTGGAGTTACTTTTTTTTTTTGGATAATACAATATATATTTATAATCTATTTAATATAATTTTTGTAATAATATATTGATATTATAAATATATTACACAGATTTTTAATATAAATATAATTATTTTAAGAAATTAAATTAAATTCATTTAAAATAATATAAATAAAGAATTTATATGCTTTCAAAAGTACAACAAAAAAATATAGAATATATATATATATATATATATCAAACAGAACTTTTACTAACAGAACTATTTAATATAATCGGATTAATATTTATATTAAAAACATTTAATGTAAAATATATATATAAAAATCTGTATAGTTAGAACTATTGCAATTATATTTGATAAAAATACGAATATACGTATTTGCCCATTAGTTCTCTTAACAAATAAAATACGTATAGCGCAAATAATATATCAAATTATAATAAAATAAAAAATTTTTATTAAACATATACACAGCTATAACTCTATAGAAATTATATATATAATTCACGATTTATAAGCGTTCTTATGATTACTTTTACTTTTTTTTATTACTTTTATTGGTTTATTACCGTGGTTGCTTTGTTACATTTGGTCTTTTTTCCCTTCTATCTCCAACGTTATTCCGTGAAGTGTTAGCACGAGGTGGACTATATATAATAATTATAATACCAATTTTAATAGACAAGAATAAATAAAAATTTTATATCTCAAATAATAAATACTTTTAACATAGAAAAACATTAACATTTTAATGATCCTCGCTACACTAGCGTGATTATGTGTCATGAAACTTTTGTATATTCTATATACAATAATTACATTTTTTTTATTAGAATATAATTTGGAATGTACAAAAATATATAATTTATAGTACTTTTACTTTTACTTTTAACAATATAAAAGCATACGCCATACTATATCAATTCCAATAAAAACGCATGACACTCACGTTATTGTGCTACGACACAGTAAAATACATATTGTTATCTGATTATCATAATATATAATAGGTAATAATTTTACCTATCCCTCCAAAATAAATGCATATTATTTTCACTTAGAATAATACTTCCACAATAGTTTAGTTTAACCGCTTTGAATTCACCGATTCTCACCGCCACAAGAAAACGATTCGTTTTCTGTTTTGTCGTGTCTTTTTCGGTGAAAAAACGTAAGCAGCCCATACAAAAGGAAAAAATTTTTTTTGGCTTTGTAAACTTACGTTGAAACCGCAATCAGGGAATATCTTTAATATTCTTTGGTCAGAAAAGTTTCGCAATAGAGAAAAATAAAATGATTTGATTTTGCTTTGATTTTCTTGCTTTGATTAATATGAATTATAACTGGAAAAAAATGTGTAACAAAAATAAAACAATTTTGACTTGAAAGCAAAAATTTTAATTAAAAATTTACAATATATGTGTAAATAATGTTTTTTCAATGGTAAACAGATTATAGGTATGTTCCACCACTCGTAGTAAAACTCAAGTAAAACATAAGTAGAGTACAAACTAAGAGCGTAACACGAATAAAGTGGTAAATTATGCTCTTTACACAGATTTTCATTGAACAGTTTAGTGTAAAAACTGGTGAGAACGCAAATAAACAATACAAAAATTTAAATTCAAACCAAAACAGCTGATTCACACATCACACAAATTTTAATTGAAATAAAATGTACGAATAAAGTCTTTGTAGCATTATCAAATTTCGACAGGGATGTTACGCTCTCTCAGATGATCTCATTTACTCGAAAATCTGCTGATGGAACGCACTTCGGTATACATAGTGTTAATCAAAGTTACTACGAGTAGCTCGTGGAACAGACCTAAAATATAAGTTGATGTAACGAAAAAGTAACATTTATTTTCAAAAACAGCTAAATTTAATAAAACCGTGGAAATATTTTAAAAGTAGCGCAATTTTTAAAATTTCGCAAATACAAATGGTGTTTTGAGCATATAATTTTATATATATGATTTCCCTTTCTTCGGGGGGCAGTATTAACACTTTCCAAATTAACTTGAATTCATTTTTACGAAATTAAGGAAATTTAGCTGTCTGAAAATAATGTTAAGCTTTTTAATTTGTAAGAATTCGCAAAAAATATTTTTATCGGTGATCCTAAATGAGACCGATAGAAAAAACATTTTATTAATTATAATTAATTAATTATTAATTATATCTATTTATGAACATGAAAACTGTTGGTAATTAGAATTGTAAGTCATAGAATATTTGAAAAGTATTGTCAATAATTCATTTAAATTTTATAAATTCATTTAAATTTTATAAAACTAAATTTATAAATGCCAATTATAAAAACATCGACCCACAGCTTGATAAATATTAATTTAAAAATGTTTTAATCGATACCGTGTATAGCCAAGCTTACCACACATATACACAGCTTGATTATTGATAAGACCTGTCCATGTACGTCATGTAGAGGATACTTCAAATTTATATTTGTGATTGAATTAAATTGATAATTTTACCTTCCGTTTTCAAATGTTTGCCTCTTCCTTATAATAAGTACTGAAATGATGTTTCAGTATTTGACCTATACCGTCCAAGGGCTGAAACTTTTCCGTTTTACATTTCTAAGAAGTGAATTTAGTAGGTTAAAGTCTTTCACTGCTTTCAAGGTAACTACACAACAAGCTTATAGAGATTAACCTGAAAATACGTTGAATACGATAATCTATACATACTTTTATCTGCATAAAAACTCTTAAAATGGATATTAAAATCGGTTTTAAAATGGAACATAACAAAACATAGATAAAAAATTAGATTTTTATTACAACTTAAATTTTTTAAATATGCATATTTAAATAATATATATAAAAATAATAATTAAATATCAATATATTAGTTAATTTTATTTTTTAAGTTATTCTGTATTTTCATATTTAGTATATAATATACATGTTCTATATTTGAGAGAAAATAATAATAATTCAACATAAAATTAAAACTACCAGTGTGCTAAGAAATAATTTGAAATTTTGAAAAATAGGTTTTGACATATTATTTTTTTGAAAAATAATTAATTCACAAATATTTAACAAAGAGCAAATTTTGAATATAAAATATTTTTTCAAAACCAACGCACAACTACGAGTATAACGGGAATTTTTAATTTAGTAGGAATATAATTTCAGAAAGTATTATCAGACATCAGACATAAAAAGTCTACAGTAATCGTAAAAAATTTTAAAGAGAATTTGAGACTTGATTAAGTTAATCAATAATTACAGAAAATGAGGACGCGAAGCAGTACTAAGGGAGACAGCATAATATGTAATAGACGCTTGCGGAACATCGTAAATATGAAAAATTGGGATGAAATCTTTGATGCGCTGCAGTCTTCATCAGGTAAATTTAATTTTTTTTGTTATTCAAATATTTTTAAAAAATATATTTATATTTATATATTTATTATATAATTTTGTTTCTTTTTTTGATTGACAATTTTTCTCTCTGCTAAATTGTCATTAGACTGAAAACGCAATGAGCGCGAGATAATAAATACATAAAATTCACGCTTGTAGTTGGCTTGAATACTTTATATTATATATTATTGATATATAGAAATTTCATAAAACAGTAATTAATTCGATAAATGTTTTTTAGAGATATCTTATTTCTCTACTTCTTCAATTGCCTCTTCAGTACTTGATGTTGACGGTCACATTTATTAATATTTTTTTTTATCCGTAAGAGAAATGTTTCTAGCGATCATATATTTTTTCATACAGTGGCATAGCCCAAATTGTACCAAGGTAATATATAGTAGAAAATAGTTTTATACAGATTTTATTTATTGTATAATTATAAATATGTATATGTAAAAAATTTTAAACTTGACTATGGTTATTTTAAAATCCCCCCATCATAAATACATTATTTGCTCAATAATAAAATTAATACGATATTTGAACTAATAAATGTAGTACTAAAAAATAAAAATACAAATATGAAAATGAAATATGCAATTATAATGTGTGATTGATTATATAAAAAATGTATGCTGAAAAAATAATATAATTATGGTTAATAAATGTTATTTATTTTATTAATTTTTTAATAATATTTGCGGCAAAAAACTCGGGTAAATGCTCCATGTGTGCTAGCTAATGTGACTGATCGATAGGGGTTTCAGGATGTCTGTGCATCATTACATATGTTAAATTATTTGATTTTACAAAAACAATTCTCTTTTTTATAATTCTGCACTTGATTTGTAAAACAATGTTCAGTGTAAATAATAAAATGCAATGGTTTCCATAAGATAGAACTGTCAGCAGATTTCCTACAGAATAATTGATTTAGCCTTTAATATTTCTATAATTAATTTTTTTATAAATATTAAGTTTATATATATGATATAGTTTTTATTATCTGAAGATTGTATTCTCAGGGAGTCTTATTCCAGACAACATCTTCTTTGCTTATACCTTTATCTCCTTTGACTACATTATGGCCGTGTGCAAGTTCGAGTAAATTGAGGTAAAGTAAATTGAAATTTCCTAGGAATTTTTTGCACTGCGCTTATATAAATCTTTATTTATTTATTGCACTCATTTATTATTTTTGTTTAAAAGTTTTCAAATTTATATATTTATTTATTAAAAGTCTTGTAAAATTTTTATTATGGTAACACCTAATTTATCTAATTTTTATCTAATTTACTCTACTCGAAATTCTGGTAAATACTAACATTCGCTGCCATACAGACATAATTTACTATTTCCCTCAATTTACCATTAATTTACTCGAACTCACACACGGCCTATATTGTATTACAATAAATTAATAATATTTTAAGTTAATATAATAACTTATTTTATTCATTTTCTAAAAAAATCCCATTCAGGATTTACTGAAAAAACCCCATTCAGGATTTTCTGAAAAAACCCCATTCAGGATTTTCTGAAAAAATCCCATTCAGGATTTTTTTTGCACTCGCGGCAAAAAACGCGAATGCGCATTACGCGCACGCTGGCTAGTGTGCACTGCTCCATATGAACCAATGTATCTTACAACTAGCTACCAAGCACATATAATGCACGTGCAGTTTTTTTGCCGAAACTGTGCACCGAATTTTAGCGTATACAGATATATATATATATAACCATTGATTTATGCACGTGTATACGCAATTTAAAACATTTTAGCTGAAATTGTTCTGAAATGCAACTCTGTCATTTTTATTTACTCAGCTGTCAAAAATTTTATTGAGATATTGATGGGAGCTTTCTCCCTACGATTGCAGATAGCGTTCTGCTGCAACATTATTTATATTTTGTAACTTTTTATAATTGAATTAATATAATATATTAAACATGTCTGAAAAAACAGAAAAGATGAAAAAGTATAAAAGGTCGAAGGAAGAGATTGCCCGTGAATTCGACCTTCCGGAGCGCCAATCTAAAATTGCCACTATCATGAAGCAAGATGGTCAAGTGTATTGCATTTGTCGTTCATCTGATTGCTCTCGTTTTATGATGTAAGTCAAAAACTGTGTACTTTGTTTTTTTATCAATAACTTTAACATCACTGTCATTTAAAAATATGAAAAAATACATAATAAACTTTGTAAATATCACATACACTTGTTATTTTAGTGGCTGTGATTGTTGCGAAGGTTGGTATCACGGAGATTGTATTAATATAACAGAAAAGGAATCTAAGCATATAAAGCACTACTATTGTCAAAAGTGTAGGGAGGAAGATCCTAGTCTCCAGATTATTTTCCGTGTTATACCAATGAGTACTTCTAATTCCGTCACTTCATCACAAAACAATGGCATCGATGTGTTCAAACAAAAAAAACCCAAAGTACCAGAAAATAATACAAGTAATCGTTGCGGTACTTGTGATGGTTGTCGTACACCAAATTGTGGTTCTTGCGATTCTTGCCTTGTACGTGTTGGTCACAAGCCTCGTTGTGAGCTACGTATATGTGTGAATCAGAATGGAATTAAAATGGAGAAACCAGTTAGGCGTAAACGTAAAGAAAAACTTTCAAAGGATCGTTCTAAAAAAAGCAAACGTTCACCTTCGCCTGAAATGTATAGAAATCCTGAATTGGAAGGTATTAGGCAATGTTATGGTCCACGTTGCCGCATGTCCGCGCGACCACAATCGAAATATTGTAGTGATGAATGCGGAATTGCCTTAGCATCCAATCGCATTTTTCAGGTAAAAAGTTTTTTTAATTAATTAATTCAAATTTATTGTTATTAAATATGTTTAAACAATAGGTATTACCATCTCGCTTACTGGAAGGACCATTCGGTAATTGCCGCGCTGACGAAGAGAGCAAGAAACAATTAGATCAAATACGTTATAAACTACAAAATGCAAATATTGCTTTGAAGGAATTAGAAAAACGTCATATGGAACTAGATTTGATTGTTGAACGTGCTAAACGTAGCACCGTTGATACTGAAGCAGGCGAAAACAATGATGTTGAAGATGAGCAATCTATGTATTGTATTACTTGTGGTCATGAAATACATTCCCGTACTGCCATTAAGCATATGGAGAAGTGCTTTAATAAGTACGAATCACAAGCATCCTTTGGTAGTACATGTAAAACTAAAATTGACGGCAATACCATGTTTTGTGATTTTTACAATCCTGCTAGTAAGACCTATTGCAAACGTTTGCGTGTATTGTGTCCAGAGCATTGTAAAGATCCCAAGATTAATGATAATGACGTTTGTGGTTGTCCAATTGTTATAAATATATTTACAATAACTGCTGAATTTTGTCGTGCTCCAAAGAAGTACTGCTACAAACACTATATGTGGGAGAAGATACGTCGTGCTGAGATAGATTTGGAACGCGTTCGTCAGTGGCTGAAGTTAGATGATCTGCTAGAGCAAGAACGTCAAATACGTCATCAGATGTCATCACGCTCCAGCTTATTAGGTCTAATGTTGCATTCAACTTATGATCACGATTTTTTGGATGAAATTTTACGCTTGCAAATGGTGGTTGAAAAGGCGCCACACTTTCGTGAGCACTATTTCCAACAATATCCACATCTTAAAGATTTCATGGCTAGACAAAAACAATTCGAACAGAGTTGTAATAAGTATTTTCTACAATCGCAAGAGACAATTCAACATGTGAATAATATGCAACAACAAGAAGTGGTACTGCAACAACAAGAAGCATTACGTTTTCAGCAGCAGGGAATGACAATGCAACAACAAGAAGCACTGCTAATGCAGCAACAAGAAATGAGACTACAACAACAAGAAGCTTTGCGACGACAACAGCAAGGAGTAATTAGACATCAGGAAGTATTGCCGTTGCAGCAACAAGCAGTACCGCTACAACAACAATATAGAGGGGCTATGTTATAACAATAACATAGAGGAAGACTTAATGAGTGGTTTTTGTTTATTAGTTAGAATTACCGATTTGATCTATAAATAAAGCATAAGATGTACCATTCATCACAGTTGAAACACAATAAAACAGGGGAGATATTAGAAATCTTAATAAAGCTTGTCAATATTTTACCAATATTTTTATTTCGTTATTTAGGAGTTCTGGTATAGTTCTGGTAGGAGTTCTGGTATATATAAAACAAAATTTTTTTAATAACATTAACATCAAAAGAATTCATTTAGTGTTATGTGTAATATGACTGAAATCAAAATCAACTATCACCTATCCACATCCTAACTCATGTATTCGTCTTGTAAATCCTTTCATGTTATCTGCTTTTTATATTCATTCCAACGGGTTACAACAATAACTAAAATCAGTATTAAGACTTAAGTTACGACTGTCAAATCAGTCTTAAAAATATACAGTGTAATACATTGTTAACTGAAATGATCCGCTTCGTGCAGCAAGAACTCTCCTAGCTCAATTGAGATCGAGATATAGCCACGTGCCAAACAGTTACTTGTCACGCATAAACACATCTATTCCTAATGTTTCCAAACTGCTGCTTTATTCGTATGACGTCGCCCATCTGTTCTCTTGCCTCACTGCACACACAAATATCCCTAAGTCAACTCTGGAATTGTTTGAGGTACCGATTGATTATTCAAAGATTTTTGAATCTCTACTTGTTAACTATCGCATCTAATTGATTTAGATAAAATGGTTGGTATTCTATTGAAAAAAAATTTAAGAGATTACTCCAAAAATTTTTGTGTTTAATGGGAATGTTCTTCGCAACTGTTCTTAGCATTGAACCGATTATCATAGATCAGTAATTTTTGAATATTACAGTAAATGACCGAATTAAATCTGTACAGATGACTAAGTGTCGCTTAATTTATTCACCAAGTATCAAAAAAGAAAGATCACCTATTTAAGGTACAAAAAACAATAATAACAAAATTTTTCTTATTGAGATGCCACGTAGAGATATCAGTCTTTTGGTAGGCTTAATTACAGGTCACTGCAAACTAAGGAACCATGCTAGAAGTTTGAGTCTACCTTTCAATCATACCTGTCGCAGCTGTGGGGAAGAGATGAAAGTTTCTCTCATCTACCCTGTCTTTGACCAGCTCATGCACTGCGGCGACTAATTATTAGTCTCTAGTCTGAGACTAATAATTTTTATATAAAAAAACTGATCAATTTTATACGTGCATTTCCGCAGAGGACATTAATTATCTTACTTTGCGCCTTCGATCACTTCTTTAAACGAATAAATTTTTAATATATAAAATTAAAATAATATATAAATAAAAATAAGAATTTAGTAGTTGCATATTAAATATTTATTTTTAATATATACATTTTTATTTTGTTTTACTATCCAAATTTTTGGTATTACTTTCGCATCATCGATCACTATAAAATTATTTCTTTCAATATATTATATATATATTTTTAATATATTAAAATAATATATTATATATGTATAAATAAATAAGAACTTAATAGTTGCATATTTAATGTTTGTTTTTAATATACAAATTTTCCTTTTTGTATATTTTTTATAACGATTGTTTCTCTAAATATATAAATTTTTAATATATAAAATTAAAATAATATATAAATAAAAATGAGAATTTAATAGTTAGGTGCATATTTAATATTTATTTTTAATATGTGTATCCTCTTTTTAGATCTATATTTATGCTTATGCCTTCGCACCATCGATCATTATAATGATCATTTCTTTAAACATATATATTTTTAATATATAAAATTAAAATAATATACAAATAAATATGAGAATTTAATAGTTGCATATTTAATATTTATTATGTATTTTTAATATATGTATTTTTATTTTTTTTTTAAATCTAAATTTTTGGTTACGCCAGCATCATCAAACATTTTTAATGTATAAAATTAAAAAAATATATAAATAAAAAAAGAATATCATAATTGAATATTTAAAATTTATTATGTATTTCTAATATATACGTTTTTTATTTTTTCAAATAAAATTTTTTGAATATACTTACGTGCTATCAATCATTACAAAAATATGTCTTTCAATTTGCTAAAAGTAATTATTTTGTACACCATGGACGTGGTATACTTTGTCAAATATATGCAATTATATTAACATACTTTAAAAATATAAAATAGAAATCCAAAACATGAAACTTATTGATAATTTTTGGTCAACTCCAATAAAAATCCATTTTCGTACTAAACCAAAAGCAAAATAATTTGCAGATATGAATTTGAATATGAAAAGGTGTTACTTACAACAACAGATAATAAAGAAATTCATAATTAACAACAACCAAATATAAACGGAAATAATTTGCTTTTCCGCAATAGCACCTTGAACTCTACCAATTCGGTCTTGCAGTTATCATACACACCGCAAGCCAAGCATATTAATAATTCTAAGCACAGCATATAATTTTCGTAAAAAAATATTTTCTGCTAAGTTGGCAACGCTAAAATTCACTTCCATTGCCTGTGGTTGACTTCAATTTTCTCAGTTTTTGTGCAACTTTTGTGGGGGCGGTACCAGCAGAAACTCGGTTCAACTCAGTATAATTAATTTATAATAAATTTTTTAATGTTTTAAAGAATAAACAAATATTAACATAAACTTAAAACAATCAATAGAAGTATTGTGCATTTGAATATTGTAAAAATAAGTGCATATATTGTTAATAATATAAAGAAATTTGCAATCGAAAAAATTCTTATTAGAAATAAAGTAAGAGAAGAAAGTGCGTGAAGAGGCGAGTGTGTAATAAAAATGGCTGAATTGTATGTGCAATGGTACACTGCTGAAGAAGAAGCAAAATATACAGGATTAATGTAATTATTGTGTAAAAAACGCAAGATAACACAGAAAGAAGTTAATAATAAAAAAATTAAACAGTTCAAAATACACACAACGACTACACCCAAAAAAGAGTAAAAAAGCAAAAAGGCAAAAACAAAAAGAGGCAACCGCACAACGTAAAATGCAAACGCAAACGTGCTTTTGTGTGTAGGAGTTTCGAGTTAAGAGTTGGAAACGAAGTTAATAGTGAAACAATGGAAGCGCTTGGACGGATAAATGTGGAAATTGAAAATTAATTGTAATTCATACACCGCCTACGCATTTCGTATGTTTTTTTTTCGTTAATATTTTTCGTTTTAATTTTTTTCGTTTTTGATAGTTGCAATACGAAAAGAAACTAGTGTATGTTAACGTTTGTTCGGTAAAGAATAAATGCATTTGAAGTGAAGTTTAAAGTTTGCTTTGCAAGTTGCTAGGGAATTACACACAAAAACGGTTTTACGGTCTAATCAAGTTTCAGTTGCCATACAAAAAAAATGCATTGTAAGCAAAATAAATTTATATAAAGCAAATACAAATTATTGTATTTAATATAAAATAGCACAAAACAACAAATCAAAGCTTAGTTGCTAGCAAATTTGTTGTTATTTTGTCATTTCGTTACTGTTTTTGCCAGTCTTCGTGTGGTCGTTGTTGTTTTTGTTGTAATATGGATTGCAGTCTTGCAGACCAAAATTCTTTGAATTGTCTTGACGAATCTGTAAGTATTTTGTATATACATATATATTTATTTAAAATAATTTTTTAATAACATAATATAATATAATATTAATAAATATTTTTTAAAATGTGATTTTAAGAAATTTATTAAAAAATATATGTTATGTATACGTTTTAGTTGTGCACGATTTTTGTTTTTGTATTTTTTTGTTTTCTTATTGGCTTTGTTTCGTTTCGTTTTTGTTGTGTGTACAAGTTTTTCGAAGTTTTCCTCCGTATTTGTGCATATTCCGTTATGTTTGTGTTGTGTTGTGTTAAATCACAGAGTTCGGAGGTGGGAAGACTGGAAATACTTCCTGATGTGTGAAAATGCATTGATGTGTACTAACCGAAATATCTAAGAGAAATCGAATAACGAATATGAATTCGGGACTCCTGAATAAGATTAGGTGTTGCTAAATAAATTTAACAATTGTTCAAAGAAAAGATTACTGTCAAAGAAATTTTTCATAATTAATACGAAATTAGTAAATAACCTGTTCACAGCTGTTCCGTGTTTCAATAGTAAAAAAAAAATTAATTATCAAATACAGAACCTGAGAAGATTCCAATCCGATATTAAGAAACATAGATATTACACAATTGTTTTAGGCTAGAATTATTACACCCATAAACATAAGTATGCGTCAAATCGGTATGCTTGTATGGATCGGAAAACTGATTTGTTAACTCCGAAATCGAAAGAAGATTCCAATCATTTATCAATCGATATTAGGCATATGGCGGTCTAGAACGATTTCAAATGAAGAGTTATGGAGAATAACGCAACGATAAGAAGAAAGAAGTATGGTTGGATTTTACACATACTGCGTAAGCCTTATAAAGATATCGCGCATGTTGCACTTACTTAGAACCCCCATGGGACTAGGCATATAAGCAGACCAGCAATGACCTGGAAAAAGTCAGTTCAGCAATCATTTATCCATGGAACCCCCATGGGACTAGGCACAGAGGCAGTCCAGCAATGACCTGGAAAAGGTCAGTTCAGCAGGAGACAGGGAAATCATTTAACGAGTTGAGAGCAATAGCATAGAAACCATTGGAAAACTTTTGTATACTGTATGAAAATAATAATAATAACAATAAATATAAAAGAAATCTACTTCTGGGTTTAGAGTAGGTCTCTAAGCACTGTTGGGTCAATAAATAGTAGTATAGAATCTACTTTACTGAGTTTTATTGCCTCTTTCGTAAGAATATAAATTTCCAGGAGCCTATACCGTATGTACATTAGAGTAGAGCATTTTAACAGCACATGTGTGGCTGACTCTTTATTCTCTTCATCGAATCTACAGTTTGCATCCGTATGTTTACACAGTCTAGTTAGGTGGTATTTTAGTATACAGTGCACTGTTAGGATTTCTGTGATAATTCTAAGTTTTTCTTTTAATAGGTTCATACAATTCTGGTGTCTCTTGTTGTTATAGTTACCAATCAGTGATTTGGATTGTGTTAATCCTGGTATATTATCCCAGTAATCCTTTTTATTCTGATACTCCTTTATATTTATGAGAGAAAGAAGCGTACCTTGTCCTAGTCCACAAAAAGATTCTGGCTAGTTTATCCGCGTATTTATTGGTTAAACTGGATATAATCAAGATTTACCCTCGATCTGTCAAATTTTATTGCCCAATAGAACATTTTTAGAGTAATCTGACATTTTTGTAGTTATATTAATTGTCTTTTATAATTTTTATACTACATATGTATGTCGAATCAAATCACATTCCATCTGTCAAGTGATATGAAACAGCTGTTTATTTCAGGCTTATCTTATGACGTTTTCGATTAATAAATCTGGATTCAATATAGATTTACTCTAGATCTACTAAATTTTGTTGTTCAATCGAACATTTTTAAAGTAATCTAAAATTTTTGTGTTTGTGTTAGTAAATAAACCAAATAAAATATAATCCTAAAACTGACTTATTTTTTTGCTACATAAGGTCTGTAAAGTTTGCTTCTTCTGTAAAGTTTGGGCATCAGTTTCGAATTCGTAATTATACTAAAATATATTGGAATATTTACTACATTCTTAAATTTCTTTTATGTCTTATGCTATTCTGTAGAGATCTATATGATAGATAATATGAAATGATTTACAAATACGAATTCATGAGTTGAGTAGGTTTGGATAGTTGGGTAAAGGAAATTTAAAAGTGAATATGATTGTTTGGGAAAAATAATGAATTATGGATGGTTGAAATTTTAGTTTAAGGTAAGACGGAATAACCTAGCCATTAATGTGGAACAGAGCCAAATTATATTCCCAAAAGGGGAATATACCACTAGGTTTGTTTGGCATATATAGTCTTTTGTCTGTCGGCTTTCTTAAGTTTTAAGTTTAAGTCTTAAGTTTTAAGTTTCTTAAGTTAAAGTTAGCATAACTTAATACTTAACGTATTATTTTTGAGTTTTCTCCAGAAACTCGAAATTATCTGTGTTGCCAAAAAATGTTTGTTTCTTTTGATGAAAGATCTATTTGCGAATAACAAATGGTTAATTGATTTTTAGAAAGTGACGGAGATTTTTTGTACTTGCTTTATCTTTAGTACATAAAAGTTGTGTTAGTAAAATATTCTTCACCGTTTTCTGATTGATTTTTGAATGAGATGTCCATTAAGATTACTAGAATGAAAATCAATAGTTTTATTCTTATAAGTTTTAATATTTATTTGGAAAGTAAGAGAGCATGAGTAATATATTCTCTAACTTTTTCTTCCTCTTCGTGGCTTCCATCCAGCCATTCTATATATATTTAAAGAGATGATATCGCTTATAAGCGAGAAGGTATTTTTTATGAAACTGGCTACTCTTAGAATCTTGTCATATACCATCCATGATGTCCAATTTAGTAGTTTATGATTTTTGCTCTTTCATGCTATACTTTATATATGTCATTCCCACAGAATTCTTTCTTGTTTGGCTCCTAATAAGCATTACATTTAGTTCCGTAAAATGCGTCTTTCTTCTTCATTTAAATATTTTTAATGGATTGTACTTAAACATGAGCAACTAAAAAGAAACTATGAAAATATTTCTTTGTTCCGTTCGAATCGAAACGTGCTTAATATTGCATTAAAAGTTCGTAAAAAATGAGAATGGCGAGTTTACGTGCTGTTTGCCGTTTAGTCGATTCCTGATACAAAGGAAACCCACAACTGCTTTCTTGAAATTTGCGCAGCAGATGCTGCACATTTGACTGCAATATTCTTCAAGGTTACGTCGAGTACTTTAATTGCAGGTATAAAGGAGTAGTAGATACATTTCATACGTGTACGTACAGAGGCGGTTTTCACAACCTACTTATAGTAAGTTAAGAGTTTAGTATAAAAATTTAAATAAATCCGCAACTGAACGGTGTGTTTATACGAGCACAGTAGTAGTCTTACACACTCAGTTCTCTAGAACAACCACACATTGTGAATACTACCATGAGAAATGTTCAAATTATTCGTATGATTGATATATTTCTCATAGTAGAAAGACTTGCATTTGTCGCAAGTAGTTGACTGCTCTGAAGAACTGACTGTGTGAGAAAAAATTTTAATATAGACAGAGTCCAAATAGAAAATTATAATTTATTAATGTTGTATATTATATACATATGTATCTGTACACGAATGTATTTGTTTATAAACCAATGAGTCATAAAATTATTTCGCTGTAATATATCTAGGCAACTACAAATATATTAACATTAATTATTTTTAGTTAAGTTTTGCAACATTTAGTAATTAACAAATTAATTAGCTTAACTGTATCTAATTTGTTTAAAATTATAAAATTGAAAAGTATTCAAATAGCGAAAGATCAGTAAAAATGATTCAGAATTTTTAATTATCTTAATAAATCTATTTATTATATTATTAATAATATATTAATATAGATCATATTATTTTGTTTAGCATATTTTTATAAAAGTATTTAGGTTTCTTTCTGAAAAAAAGATTATTATATTATTAAAACATTGGAAGCTTTCCATAAACCGTAAAAAAGTTTCAGTTTGCTGGTTAAGATCTATTTTATAATTATTTTGTTTTTAGTAAAACCCATGTTCTATATAGTAGACAATCATATGAATAGTCACGATAATTTTACGCTCTTTTTGGTCATGATCAAAAGTCATGTTATACAGAAAGTCAGACCAGAATTGTTAAATTTCTTACCTTTAATTCTATTTTGGTAGGATTTTTATACCTCAATTTCAAAGATAATTATTTTTGTGTAGAGGGAAATTATTTCAAGAAGAGGGAAATTATATACTAATTTATATATGTTTATAAATTAATTTGTTCTGATAGATTTCTTTCCAAAGAGGGGTGTTTATTGGAGAATTATCTTGATAATGCCTTCAAGAAAATTTACTACGTTAAATAACTACGGATCCATGGTCAATATGTCACTAGATATACGTTTACTAATATACAAGAGCCATATACAGATTTTTAGATTTAATATTTAGAGCAATACTGTTGCGAGCACTGTGATGAGGCACATAAGGCCTCGTCACCGGCACCAAAATTTTAAACAAAATTTTATAATTTTGATTTATAAAAATTATTCTATAATTTTTGATTTACATTAAAAACAACAACAATTTGACATTAGATAAGATAATGACTGTCTGTACAACATAGTCCTAAGTAGTAGTTTCTTTTATTTAAGTGTACTATGATTCTTTTACATTTTAAATATCATCATCATTATTAGCGTTACAGCTCGGGGTGACCTTTAGCTGCATCAACCAACCTTGCTCTATTCTGCTTTGCATGCTCTTTTAGACTCCCAATTTTGGATACCTATTTTTCTGATGCCGTCTATCACATTGTCGCGCCATCTACCTCTGAAATGGAGTATTCGTTCTATCTTCCGGCATTCTCATGACGTGCCCGATCCATCTCAAGCGTTGCGACTTTGCGAATTTTACTACATCTTAACCGTTGATATCATTGTCTTTTGACGAGCAGTTTTTTATTG